TTTTTTTTTTAGTTTGTTAATACAATGATCCACGATTTCTCATTTTCTACAAGATGTATTCGAACCAATGCATATCAATGGAACGCACACTTTTAGATTCCATTGCTTGGTTCTTATTGTGGACACTTCATACACAGGCATTGCGTGATGGAATTCTCATTTTTGCTGCCCAGCGAGCCGTTAGCGCAACGGAATGGGACTGTAATTTGAGTGGTCTGAATGACCTGGCAGCATTCGCAATCACTCTGTTGATTGCTGTCCACAGAGCTGACACATCCACCCGAGCATTCGCCCAAAAGGACTGGCGAGGTGGAGCGGCATGAGGATCCAAAACGCTCAAATTCCAAGGTCTTGTTGCTGTATGTCACCTCACATCCTGGCTTTTTAGTGGGCACTGAATATGAACAGACAGAATCATTATGGAAATGATAATGATAATAATAACAATGATGATAATAATAATAATAATGATAATAATAACAATAATGATAATAATAAAATTAATGATAAAAATAACAATACAGATAATAATAACAATGACGATGATAATAACGATGATGATACTAATAACAATGATGATACTAATAACAATGATGATAATAATAACAATAATGATAATAATAACAATAATGATACTAATAACAATGATGATAATAATAACAATGATGATAACACTAACAATAATGATAATAATAACAATAATGATAAAAATAATAACAATGATACTAATTACAATAATGATACTAATAACAATGATGATAATATTAACAATAATGATAATAATAACAATGATGATAATGATAACAATAATAATAATAACAATAATTACAATAATAACAAGAAAGAACTGACAAATTAAGGTCATCATAATAACTGGTATAAACTTATAAAGACAATAATCAGTATGAAAAGGATTTTGTTGAATAATGAATACCTGAAATGGTATCATTTTGAACCAGTAATCCTATAACTACCCAACTATGGGGTGGACATGTAGGTCTTTAGAAGTGATAAGAATGAGTCAACTTTAAAATATATATATACTAATCATTAAACCTCTGGTTTATACAGGAGAGCATGGTTTCGTGTCAGGATGTAGCTGTGTCTGTGTCAGTTTGGACAGTTGTGATTGATCCAAATCAAGTTTGTAGACTCATATCTCTTACGTACATAGTTGAGATTAATATCAATCGCAAACGAATTGCCATCGATATCGACTCTTTATACCGGAGTGTTGGCTCAGTCAGTAGAGCGTCCGCCTCACAACCGGGAGGTCGTGGGTTCGAACCCCGGCTGCGTCATACCAAAATACGTTAAAAGATGGGAGTTGTTGCTACCTTGTTTGGCGTTCAACAATAAGGGATAGAGCAACGTCGATCTGGCGCTGCTCAGTGGCTGCCGGGCTCACGATCAATTTGGTAAAAAGAATTTCCGTTTCGGTTTAATAAAATTTGGAGTGGACTATTAGGCTATTATTATTATTATTATTATTATTATTATTATTATTATTATTATTATTATTATTATAAGACGGGGCCAAAGTCTCAGTCTTGAACACGGCCCCTCATTTGAACTGCGTCACCGGCTTGCTCAGCCATTGTAATGAAGGGTTGTGTGCAGCAGGCAATGGGGTATCGGACTAATTGGGGTCTTTTTAAATCGAGTCTTTACGGACAATTAGTGCTTATACATAACTCCAACTCTGTTACAAGCGCTGTGGTGACCATTATCATACTCGGCAACAAATGTGCGTTATAATTTGAATAAGTTTGTCAAACTTTGGATCATCTCTATCTGCCAATAATGGAAATCGAAACTATAATTGCACTCTCAATTCAACTTGGGTGAATTATATTTCCCTGTTGTTCTCCATATATATATATATATATATATATGTATATATATACATGTACCTTGCACCCATAGGTCAATACGCCCAATTTGAAGAATGCAAAATAGATTTTTTTTTTTCCTTTCAATTAGCACTGATCATACTTTATTCAATATTATATTTTTCCTATGAATTGCTTAAGTCACATTAGAAAACCTTTATTTTTTCACATCCATTACCCATATCCGTAATCCCACCATCAATATTATTTGATCTAAGGTGTACATATTGTTTTGTTCTGAATATACTATTTCTAATGACTTTTTAATACTATTGTCTTTTGAGCAGTATTCTTGTTTTATTATTAATGTAATTCGTACTCAATTCAGCCGCTAGGCTGCCATGTACAATTTTTGTTTATATATATATATATACCACAATAATTAAATAAATAAATAAATAATAGAACATTGCCACTCACCACACTCGGGACAACACTGGTCAGGTATGTGTATCAGGCTGCCCTGCTGAATACAATGAATGACAAATGAAGAGTGATAGTGATGATGATAGCAATAACTGCATTTCTACAACACTATTCGAGATTATAATGATCACCATCATGGGTGTCGATCCGTAACTGATACCTATTCATCAGGGGGGGTGATCTATTCATTCTCCCCCCCCCCCTGATGAATAGGTATTACGTAAGGATCGACACCCATGATCACCATAATAATGATAAGGTAAGATAGTAATAGTAAGGGTGAGGAGAAGAAAAACAGCATTGATGATGATGATTATTATGAAACTACTAAAAAAAATACTTCTACTACCACTACTACTACTACTACTAATAATAATACTACTAACTAGAAATATCGCAATCTGTATTCCCACGCAATGCGAATATATCCCCCGGCAGTGGCAGCGATTTTTGTGTCATCCTTATGTTCGAAGGAGGGACAAAGATCCCCTTCTCCCCTCCCCGAAACAAAAGGATGACGCAGAGATCTCCACTAGTGACCCGGACTATTATTGTCAAGACTAGGAGCAGCATCACCAAAACAAAAAATATATATATATATATATATATATATATATATATATATAGATAAGGGGATTATGCATCTCTATAGAAAATAGAGGCGGCGGCGGCGCGGGGGCGCGGCGGCGCACAGTGGGCCTCCGGAGTGGGCCAGGGAGGATCTAAAGTGCGCCAAAAGTCTTTTGGGGTGATCTTTCTTTTTCTTTATATTTATCTTGCCCAGTTTAAAGATAATACATTGAAGAATACCTCGGTAAAATATTTAATTCCGGTATGAACAATAAGGATATAGATTTACTCCTTAAAAAAGCAAAATCTTACATATTCACAGTTTTTAATGCAAAAGTGACTTGTTTTATAAATGTTTCAATTTTTAACATAGAGATTTTAAGCTCATCATCAACTTCAGGTGGCGCTGTAAAGCGCTGCTGTGGTCTTCACGAGAGCACGCCATGCAACTATTTCACCTGCCATTTGTGTTGCACCTTTCAATCCTTGTCCAGACACTTTCTTGATATCATCACTCCAAGATATTGGTGGACGACCTCTACCCCGTTTCCTTCGACTGCTCCTTGCAGTATTTGCCTCTCAACACCTTCAGATCTCCTAACAATGTGCCCAAAATAGTTAGGTTTTCTTTCCATGATTCCCCTTCTGATGGTCAAGTCTGTTCCAATCTTTTCCAGGACCCACACATTTGTCTTTTTATCTTTCCATGACACCTGCAACAGCCTTCTGTAGCACCACATTTCAAAGGCATCAACTCTCTTTCTGTCATTCTTTGTCATGGCCCAGGACTCACTTCCGTAACTCGCAATAGAGAAAGAAGTTGCTTGAAGCAGACAAACCTTCAGACTGAGAGATAGGCCTCGGCTCTTCCAGATGTGAGACATATTCTGTACTGTTGATCTTGCCATTGCTATCCTTCTCCTTATCTCTGTGGTGCTCTCTCCTTTGTTAGTGATGATTGAACCCAAGAACTCAAACCGATTTACTACTTCAATCTTATTTCCAGCTACGGTGAAGTCAGTGTTATTATCATCTCTATCGACAACCATTATTTTTGTCTTTTGGGTGTTTAGAAGAAGGTCTTTCTCTTCACTTGCCTGTTTGATGCGATTCAACAAATCAATCAGCTCTTCTCTGCTGCTGCAAACGAGAGTAGTGTCGTCAGCATACCTTATGTGTGTGATCTTTTTACCTCCAAACTTAACTCCCCCTCATAATGTCCTCAGAATAAATATTTAAAAGGTTAGGAGACAGTATGCAGCCTTGACGTACTCCCCTACCAATTCCAAAACTACTCAGTATTGCCGTTACTGGTTCTCACTGTTGCTTCTTGGTCATGATAGAGGTTTTTGATCAGTTCAATGATGTGACTTTGAAACCCCATCTTTGCCATTGTATTCCACAATTGAGAGTGGCTCACACAGTCAAATGCTTTGCTATAATCTATAAAGCACAAATAGAGGGGATGTATGTGTTCTCTGCATTTCTCTATTATGTTTCGAATGTTGACGATCTGTTCTCTTGTCCCTCTACCTTCACGGAACCTTGCTTGCTCATTTGAGATCTCGGCTTGCAGTTTGATTTTCATTCTTCTGCTAATTTTGCTTGCATGACAAATCAAGCTGATCGTTCGGTGATTTGCACATTCTTTCAGATCTCCCTTCTTTGGCAAAGGTATAAAACAGCTCTACACCGGTCCTTAGGCCACTTCCTACTATTCCAGATATTGCAACAGAGACGCCACATTAGGTCAGTACCTTCTTCACCTGTAGCCTTCCACATCTCGGAAGTCAAGTTGTCAAAGCCAGGGGATTTGCCATCCTTAAGTTGTTTCATTGCAAGCTCCACTTCTGATCTTAATGGAGGGGGGCTCCATTTCATCACTTTCCTACCACTGAGTGTCAACTTGTTCCTGTGCAGCAAACAGCTTGGTACTATACTGCACCCATCTTTCCTTGATGTCTTCATTCTCCGTCAGTGTTTTATCATTGTCATCATTAATTACATCCAGTCTTGGGATTCTTTTCTTTTTCATTTCTTTCACAATTGCAAATCTTGCCTTGGAGTTGTTCTTGTGACGCTCTAGGTCTTCACACTTCCCCTCGATGTAATTCCTTTTGTCCTCCTTCACACTACTTGTAACCGCCTTATTGAGTGTCGACCATTCTCCTCTATTGTGTTTTGCTTTTGCCCTCTTCCTGTCATCAGCAATGTAGAAAGTCTGATTTGAGATCCATAGTTGTTTCCGCTTCTTTTTCTTTGGGATGTGGTTCTCTGGTGCATTTCAACTGTTTCTTTCATGTCTTCCCACAGCTCATTTGGTGTTTGCTCTGCTTTATCGTTTCTCAACAGCAGCTCAAACCTGTTCTGCACTTCCACTGAGAATTGTGGGAGCTGAATCACAATTCTTAGCTTTCAGTCTTAGTCTCAGTTTAGCCACAAACAGCTGATGATCGCTGCCACAGTCAGCACCTGGTCTTGTCTTGACGTTCTGTAGTGAAGTCCGCCACCTCTTCTTGACCATGATGTAGTCTATCTGGTTTCTGGCTCTGTCTCCCGAACTCATCCATGTCCACAGTTTTCCGGGATGATGCTCAAACCATGTGTTACCAATGATGAAGCTGTTCGCTACACAAAATTCTTCCAGTCGATCACCTCTTTCCTTTCTGATGCCAAGACCATAATTACCAATGTACTCGGGTTTTTCCCTCGTTTTACCAATCTTGGCATTCCAGTCACCCAATATTATGAGGAAATCTTTCCTAGGAATGCTGTCTACACCATCTTGTACCATCTCGTAGAAATCAGTGATTTCTTCCTCCGGTGCATATACCTGAATTATGGAGATATTCATAGGATGCCCTTGTAATCTCACAGTCATAATTCTCTCATTGATCGGGTTGTATCCCAAGACACATTCCTTCGTCTGATGTAAATGTGCCTTGATTTTAAGCTATTGATATGAAATTGCTCTCACATGTTCCTGATAGTTCATTTCACTGCATGAATGGGTTGAAAATTGATAGAAACCCATTCTTCATAATATATTATAAGGTAATCCATTTTTAACCCATTCATGCAGTGAAATGAACTACTGTATCAGGAATATGTGAGAGCAATTTCATATCAATAACTTAAACATTTCATGTTAAAATGGAGTGGCTGCCCGGCAAGCAGTAGATGGCAGGTTCAAGTCCCGCTGGTTCCAAGATTTTTTTTTTCTGACTTGTTTTTCAATACAGATCGATCAATCGATCTTATTTACTGGGTGTAAGCCACAAATATGTTTAAATAACTGAAATTTCTCCCAGGAAGCATTACATTTATTTAAAAAATTAGAAAAGTGAAATATTTATAAAAATAAGTTACTTTTGCATTTAAACAGTGAGCATGTAGGATTTTTCTCTTCGAAAGAGTTAATTTATAACTTTATTGTGCATACCGGAATTACATATTTTACTGAGGTATTCTTCAATGTATTATCTTTCAACTGGTCAAGAAAAAAAATTAAAAAATAAATCACCGAAATTGACTTTTTGCGCACTTTGGTTCCACCCTGGCCCACTGTGCGGCGTAACGATGCTGAATCCAAAATACCCTCCAGCATACTGCCGGGGATACAATAATAGTAACATCAACAATATTAATAATTCTAAATAATGATAAAATATAACGTTCAATTATTATAAAACGCATAATACATAATTGTCTCTATGCGCTTAGATACGAAAGAGAGAGAGAGAGAGAGAAAGGGAGAGAGAGGGGGAAGGGAAGAGAGATAGAAAAGAGGAAATATTGAGCTTTCACCGCTCATAACGTACGATTATTAAAATCAATTACAAAATTCACATGTTGATGTGCAGAAAAAACAAAACCGAGAATTAATGACGTTCTATCATAACTAGATCACAACAATTATAATTAATAAATGACACATATTTGTGAAGCTTAGATCCTCTTCTTTCGATTGATGCAACTCATATGATGCATATTTTCCGCATGAGTGACTAAAATCAATTTGAAGGAAGGGTACCAAAAAGTCATTTGGCGGACGGTATCTGAATATCAAAAAACGAAAGTCACATTTCTAGAAAGTTTATTTTCTGCCCTTTCATATGACACCTCAAACAGGAAAAATGAGTTAGTTCTTAAGCGAATTTGTTTCCACTTGCTGCCTGCCGTAGCAACAAGCAGAATTGACAAAAGACTTAACTCCGTTTCGTTGACAATCAGCCATGCAGTCTTCCTTCTACGACAAAACCGCTGCGGTTGTTTTTGTTGAGCGCAATTTTGTTTTGAGGCGGCTTGTTTGAGGCGGTTTATCGCGCCTTGTCTGAACAAGCCTAAATACCTTAAAAAGTACCGCAGGGATATATATCTTGGAAAAGCCTTTACATAATGACACTACCAGCCAACGCGATTCCATACTCACATCGCATTCGACGTTGCAAGCTTTTTGTTGAGCTACGATTCCGGACATTTCGTCACAGGTCATATCAACGCAGCTGTCAGGGCTAGGTAGCGTGTCTCCGTACTAAAATAAATATTAAACAATTCAAAGTTATATTTATATTCTTCCGTTCCTTTTTCGTTCATATAAATAAATTATCCAAGTAATACATTTGAACATACATAATTAAATAAGTATTAACCGGAGCATATTACATTTTCAAACCTAAGGAAGACGGCGTAACTCCTAAAATCGTAAGCTTAAGCATGTCGGGTAAGCATTACAAAAATAAATTATACATATTTATCATGACAAAAGGAAGGATAGACGAGGAACGGAAGTGTAAAAGAAAATAAAGAAAAATTAAATTAGAGTTAAGAAGGTTTTTAAAAGAGAACTGCAATAAATGACATGGTAGCTAGCGTTTATCCGGGTATATAAAAGTTACTGTATATATGACAATAAAAAGACAAGATCTGAACGAAATGAACAAAGTATTTCTATAATGATGCTGGAAACATAATCAAGGAAAAAAGGAGCTTAGTCCCAGCCAGCGCGTAACGAAAAGGATTGGTGTGTGACTAAATATTTTGTATCAACACCAAAAGCATTATGCAAATGCAAAGATACTAGCTTAATGATCCATAATATGAATATTGACTTATAATGCAGTCCAACAATCTAAAGACCTGGTTAGCGGTGAATTCCGATTAATCGTACCTATTATTGGATTTGGGATCCATGCTATATTCAATAGGAGAACATACGCGTATGCCGACTAGTCTACTCAGTAAGTCGTTTATACATTATATTTACTGAGAGTAATTTAAAACTGCAATTGTTTCCTCTAATTTGTCCCGGTGATCGGCACACTTTAAAGATGCATAACTGGCTGCGATACAATTATTGTTTAATTAAACCTTTATTGAATTGAATTAAATATAGATCGGGCAGTTAATATAATTATTTGCTTCACATTAATCGTTTAGAATGCCATAATCAATTAACTTAATTATGGCATCCACATACTTTTTTCACACAAAATCATCAACATAAACTTCAGAAATATCTAAACACAGATAATCATGCCTCCCCGAAATGACATATATTTGTTTACATATGTTGAGGGAAAATGTGGCAGTTAAAGCGTTATATTTTACATGTAGTTTCTTATTCTTTTTTGCGAACCGCAGTTCACATTTTGGAATCATGTGTAAGTATACGTTGCAACTTATGTATCATTCTTTTTTTTTATTTGTATAAACACATCCTAAAATGAGTTCAAAATGTAACATGCTATATGTAATGATGTACTATACAACATGTGAGAAATATGAAAATAAACTGAAACTGAACTGAACTGAACTGTTGCGCGCAGCTATGTTTTTTTTATCTCGACCTTCGTTAACAAGCCTATACAGAACGTCAAAAACATCATTGGATCAATTACATCAAGACTAATCCAGCGGATCGTTAGAAATCCTCAATGAAAATTATAATAATCATTCTCATTTACTCACATCGTAAAAATTTCCGTTGAATCTGCATCCTGCATAGGGGTATAGATATACAGGTTAAACTGTTAATATATTGTATAAATCGTTTATAATCAATGTTCTCTATCTGAAATATTGGAATAAGCAATGATTAACAAAACGGCCTGTTCGATATTATTTCTGCTGTTGATACAAGTTTTAATGAGACATTTAAACCACTTAATTCATGTTAGTACATAATTGATATATATATATATATATAGGCCTACATAGATATTGTGTATGCATTACGTGAAATGATGGGAATAATAATGAGGATGGTAACGATAACAATAATCTTAATTATGATAATAACGACAATGATGCAATGAGGGTATTTATGCAATCCTTTTTATCACACATGGTAGCTTATTGTAGTGGTACGCTGATTTGGGCAACACATTGACCTGAAGGGGGCGCTATAGCAATAGAGGAGTTGGGTTAAGTTGATCAATTGTACGGTTATTAGTTTGACTTTGTATACATCTAAAAGTTGAACGGCGTGAATTATGTTCCCGACAGTATGCCAGAAACGGGTAAACAACCCCTGTCCTTGAATTCCTACATTAGATCACAGGTGTTCATTTCCGATAAATACGTAAGACAGTAGAGTGTTTTTCCGGGGACCTGACATTCTCACGGGGCGGTAGACTCCTCCCATTTCTTCGGTGCCTAGTTCAAATCTCTCTATCTATTATGCTTTGTCATTAATTATAATTAATTAAATGTATAACTCCTCTCTTAAAGACCGTCAATACTACTGGGCCAGAAGGGATTAGACCACACAGCAAGGTCACTAACAGGTGGCTATCTCATTAACTCAGCTCTCAACTAACATAAGAAAAAGAGGATCATGGGGACCAACAGGCACCGATTGGGGAAGTTTTCTATATAAAGGGAGCAAGTAGCTACAAGTAGGACAGTGGGGCTTTGATTGGTGGATTGAACTGGCTAGAGGTTTGATGACCTAAGGGTCATTTTATATATCCTATCTTGTAATTGGTTGACTTCGTAAGGGTCCTCCTGATTGGCTAATAAGATTATGTGATATTTAAGCCTCGTCGGGTGCCGGACTATTTAAATGCCATGTGCGGGATTTTGTAGCTGAGTTTTGATTTCGTTCCGTTAATATGTTAAGGGTGTGCTGCTAGTTTCACTCTATGTATAAGGCCGCCCAGCCTCTGAGAGAATAAGCTATTTAAAAATGTCCTTAAATAAATAATCTTCGTTTGAACTACTGGAGCTTCGGCTGACTTTAACAAATAATAAAGTGAACTTTAACTGTATATCCGAGCTTCTTTCGTTTTCATTTTTTTTCTGAACTCGTCGTCACCGACCCATTATGGGCCCATTACATTATCATTGATTTCCCTCAATTTACAATGCCCCAAAACTGTTGAATACGCTTCACATATTATAATTATTTCATATTCGTTGATAAAGAAAATATACGCATTATAAATAAACGTTAATACCTGGCTGTTCCGGTACACAGTGATCTGAAATGAATAAATGAAATGACCGGAGTTAGATAAAGATAAACAAGCACAAAAATGCTTCCAAATAATCATAAACTATTGCGTCATGTTTTCATACATTATTTTAAATATTGACATGATAAGTTTAAATAATCGGAGAGTACTATGTAGAGGTTTTGAGAGAGGTCAGGAAGAGATTTTGTTATCGCTAAAATCCAGAGGTGGTTTAACCAGGTCGGTGACACCTGTACCAGGACAATGTACAAGTCTAAATTCCATCCTGGTCACCAGCGGTTGTTTCGGTTGAGTTTCGGTTGTTTCCCAAGCTCAAGGACAAATCTCTGGAGCAGTTGTGATGAAGATAATAGGAACTTTTAGATTTGCACAACGAGAACGTGGACTGCCACGTGTGACATCCTCTTAAGGCACTGGCAGTGCCCGGCAGTGCCTTAAAAGGACGTCGCATTGCCTTAAAAGGATGTGAAACGTGGCAGTCCACGTTCTCGTCGTGCAAATCTAAAAGTCCCTATTGAGAAGATGAAGGAGGGTCCTAGTCATCTTCACTCTGCGGGACTTCCAGGTGCCTTCAAGAAGTGGCAGAGGCATAGACATCAGAGGATAGTACTTTGATTTAGATCAAAACTTTGTACTTAAAATGGGATTATTCTATCGTGCCACAATGTTCTCTTTCAATGTACCAGTTTGGGGGATTCTTTAGTTGAGACACCCTTGAACTATGGGATATTGGATCAGATTTTATTATTCCTGTGTAACTTTATCCCCGATTAAAAGAATAAACTAACTGGGTCCTCTCTATTCAGAGAAATGATGTGGAACGTTGCGATCCTAATATTGTACACTAACCTATCGTAACGCAGACGTCGAAGTTAAACTTCAAGTGGATCACATATGCCGGTCCTGGCTTCATAAAAGAGATTTCACATGTCTCAACCTCAACCCCTGTCAGTGATCCAAGTGACATCCGGATAGTGTCATTATCTCCAAGTACGGCGGGTATGGTATAAACCTGCATTAAAAATGGCATCAAACGAACTAAATAAACCATATATATATATATATATATAAGTGCGATAATTCTCAACTCTGACATGACAACGGGTGTTCCAGAAAATGTAGGCGTGAATAAAATGGTCTAGGAACGTGAGACGTAGCTGTACTTTACAATTTGATTACGAGCTTTCGGCTTGTGAGGCCTCCTTTAGGTTCTGAAGTGCAAACACGTAGGACCAAATACATTGTATGAACAAATAAACATGGCATACAAACTTAATATCACTCAATCATAGGCAATCATCATGAACATAGCAAAAATTAGTACGAGAAATACTTCGGAATAAACTTAGAAATGATTATGCAATTTCAAAGTGTTTTACCTTGCCTCAACGCAGTGTATTCGATCTTAATCTTAATTTTATTTTTAGTCTTTGATTCTCACGTTTTATCCTTGCATTTGTTATACAATGTAGGGTCAATATACAATCGGACTGCTTACACTCCAATGCATTTGAATGAAGCCTTCTATCCTCCTCCCTCTCCCCTCCCTAGACACAGGTGTAGGTGGCTGCCTGCCGTAGCATCAACCAGAGTTGACAAAAGACCTTCCGTTACGTTGACAATCAGCCATGCGTGAAGTCTTTCGTCTGTGGCTGATCGTCATGCGAAACGGAGTTAAGTCTTTTGTCAATTATATCATCAGTGATGCATATATTATCGATGGCAGGTGGATCGGGTTTACGAGTAATGACAAGATCAAAAGTGTGACCTTTCTTCTGTGTAGCATCTGCTGCATAGTAGATTATTAGGGACTTTTAGATTTGCACAACGACAACGTGGATTGCTACGATCGATGTCCTTTTAATGCAATGCCTTGAATTAACGTCACACGTATCAGTCCACACAAATCTAAAAGTCCCTAATGACTGCCTTTGCACTTCTATCCTGCAGATCATCAGCATGAATGTTAAAATCTCCTACCACAAGAAAGAGCTTCATATTCATATGAGCAATATCAATCAATGCTGTGGATTGTTCTAGAAAATCGCTAAAACCACATCCTGTCGACCCCCGGGCAATACCCCCCCCCCCCCTGAGGACAATTACCCCTCCCTTTGGGGGTAGTTTTCCGGAGGGTAATTTTCCGGGTGATAGCCCAGGGGTTATTGTCCTGATACGACTTGGCCATCCTCTCCTTACAATGTTTAACAGATAATTGTTCTGCGCTTTCTACGTAGATTTAGGTCTTCATCATCTGCTCGATTAATTTAATATTTATTTGGTCTTATTATCTTACCTTCCCAAAATTAACAATATAACTACCTTTTTTCAATCATGATTTGTCCTGCTTCTTCTTCCTTCTTCCCCCTTTTCCCTTTTCCTTCTTATCTGTTTTACTTCTCCTTGTTCGTTTCGTGGTTGTATGTTGCTTTGTAATATTGTCTTGTGTTTTTTAAGTCTAATTCTTGTAATAATTTTATTATGTGCATAGTTTATTTGTATAGTTTCCTGAAAAATGAATTATGTATGATAAAAAAAAAGTAATATATTTGTTTACCTTTCTGTTGGAAATGAAATAAATATGAATATGAATATGAATTTAGAAGATGAAAAATGGTCCAGTTAAGATAATTCCTTCACCCAAATCAATTATTACATAATTAGGTCCGTGCAGTGTCCCCTAAACACCAGGTCGACTCTATCAAAAGCTTTGAAGCAAAAATAATTTGCCTAAAAGAAAGTGTACGTGACTGAATCTATTAAACCTGTGAAATTCTACGCAATGTTCAAATTGTATATCACTTTTACATGATGAGACACTTAATATATTTGTTGTTGTTTTCAATGACTTATTTGGGTTGTGTTGCGGCATTACTCCCCACCCCCTCCCCCTCCCTCTGTCTGTCTCTCTCTCTCTCTCTGCCTCTCTCTGTCTCTCTATGTCTCTCTCTCTCTATTTCTCTCTCTCATTCTACATGATCCTACGACCGCCTTCATGTACTGACCATTGATTTGCCATCTTCATCATTTGCGTTCATCCACGTGTTCACATCCATATCAGGCGCACGACAACGGAGAAAGAAGTAAACGCTGAATGGGATTTCAGTTAGGACTTCGACCTCCAGACCTTTGAGGCTGGCCAAGGCACTGAATGAATGTGTGCAGCTGCTTCCTGCAATAGCGCTAGCATAATTGTTTCCTGGAGCGACGCAGCTGTTGTAAAAATATAGTCCTGGGAGGCTCGTCCCACAAACTTCAACTCCAGGATGCAGACAAGGGACAGCTGGATTTAAATGAATATCGAAGTGAATTATTATAATTCTTTGTTATTGTATCATTATTTTGTATTTGTATCATTATCATTGTTATTATTATCACCATTATTATTATTACTAGAAAGTAGTATCATCGTTATCACCATAACCTGTAACTACTACGACAACTATAGTTCTTGTTATAATTAATAATGTTATTGCTCATATTATTATCACTGCTATTAATATTGTTGTTGTTATAATTGTTGTTATTAATTATTGTACTGTTAAAATCATTAGCAGTCATAGTAGTAGTTTTAGCAGTAACATTACTACTACTACAAGGATAATACCATCATCGTAAAAGTAGCCGGAGGTAGGGATCAAGAAAGATCACATTTCAGAACTGGGACTTCTTCAAAGTGGAAAGTAGGCATCTAAGTCATATTCCAATGAAAATCAAAGTAAGGGAAATCTTACATTTTCATCTAATGAAAAAGCATTTTTTAAGGCACATAAAAGCAGAAGAAATATCAATATATGGATATTATATGCCTCAGGATGGGGACGTTTGTCATTATAAGAATGGAAAGTTATTTAGGAGCTTGCCATAAATTGTTAAGCTTCGAATTTCATGCCTATTGTAAAATGGCGTTATTCGACCCGCTCTATTTGTAACAGTCAAAAAGGGTCTACGTCTTACAAAAACAAATTACCTACAAAACTTGAATAACAAGTGTTGATTACTTACGTGTGGTAGGGGGTTGTGCTGTCGGGGGTTGGGTGGTTGGAGGTTGAGTGGTAGGAGGTTGAGTAGTAGGGGGCTTGGTTGATGGTGGCTGTGTTGTCGGGGGTTGTGTAGTTGGTGGCTGAGTAGTAGGGGGTTGAGTAGTAGGGGGTTGAGTGGTAGGAGGTTGGGTAGTCGGGGGTTGTGTTGTCGGGGGTTGCGTGGAAGGGGTTTGAGTAGTAGGGGGTTGAGTCGTAGGAGGTTGAGTAGTAGGGGGCTGGGTTGATGGTGGCTGTGTTGTCGGGGGTTGAGTAGTCGGGGGTCGGGAGGTAGGAGGTTGAGTAGTAGGGGGCTGGGTGGTAGGAGGTTGGGTAGTCGGGGGTTGGGTAGTTGGTGGCTGAGTGGTAGGGGGTTGGGTGGTAGGTGGCTGGGTGGTAGGAGGTTGAGTAGTAGGGGGCTGGGTAGTTGGTGGCTGAGTAGTAGGAGGTTGTGTAGTTGGTGGCTGAGTAGTAGGGGGTTGGGTAGTCGGTTGACGGGTGGTAGGGGGTTGTGTTGTCGGGGGTTGCGTGGAAGGGGGTTGAGTAGTAGGGGGCTGGGTAGTTGGTGGCTGAGTAGTAGGGGGTTGGGTAGTAGGCGGACGCGTGTAAGGGGGTTGTGTAGTCGGGGGTTGGGTGGAAGGGGGTTGAGTGGTGGGAGGTTGAGTAGTAGGGGGCTGGGTAGTTGGTGGCTGTGTTGTCGGGGGTTGCGTGGAAGGGGGTTGAGGAGTAGGGGGCTGGGTAGTTGGTGGCTGAGTAGTAGGGGGTTGGGTAGTAGGCGGACGCGTGTAAGGGGGTTGTGTAGTCGGGGGTTGGGTGGAAGGGGGTTGAGTGGTGGGAGGTTGAGTAGTAGGGGGCTGGGTGGTTGGTGGCTGTGTTGTCGGGGGTTGGGTGGTTGGAGGTTGGGTGGTAGGGGGTTGCGTAGTAGGGGGCTTGGTAGTTGGTGGCTGTGTTGTCGGGGGTTGGGTGGTAGGAGGTTTAGTAGAAGGAGGTTGAGTTGTCGGGGGTTGGGCAGTTGGTGGATGTGTCATAGGAGGCTGTGTTGTTGGGGGTTGGGTGGTGGGAGGTTGAGTGGTAGGTGGTTGAGTAGAAGGGGGCTGGGTAGTTGGCGGCCGAGTAGTAGGTGGTTGAGTAATCGGCGGACGCGTGGTAGGGGGTTGTGTAGTCGGGGGTTGGGTGGAAGGGGGTTGTGTAATAGGGGGCTGGGTTGATGGTGGCTGTGTTGTCGGGGGTTGAGTGAAAGGAGGTTGAGTGGTAGGAGGTTGAGTAGTAGGGGGCTGGGTTGTCGGGGGTTGGGTAGTTGGTTGCTTAGTAGTAGGGGGTTTGGTAGTTGGTGGCTGTGTTGTCGGGGGTTGGGTGGAAGGAGGTTGAGTTGTAGGAGGTTGGGTAGTAGGTGGTTGGGTGGTAGGTGGCCAGGCGGTAGGAGGTTGTGTAGTCGGGGGTTGAGTAGTTGGTGGCTGAGTCGTAGGGGGTTGGGTGGTAGGAGGTTGAGTGGTGGGAGTTTGAGTAGTAGGGGGCTGGGTAGTTGGTGGTTGTGTTGTCGGGGGTTGGGTAGTTGGTGGCTGAGTAGTAGGGGGTTGGGTGGAAGGGGGTTGAGTAGTCGGCGGACGCGTGGTAGGGGGTTGTGTAGTCGGGGGTTGAGTGGAAGGGGGTTTAGTGGTAGGAGGTTGAGTAGTAGGGGGCTGGGTGGTTGGAGGCTGTGTTGACGGGGGTTGGCTGGTAGGGGGTTGTGTAGTAGGGGGTTGGGTAGTTGCTGGTTGTGTTGTCAGGGGTTGGGTGGTAGAAGGTTTAGTAGAAGGAGGTTGAGTTGTCGGGGGTTGGGTAGTTGGTGGATGTGTCATAGGGGGCTGTGTTGTTGGGGGTTGAGTGGTGGGAGGTTGAGTGGTAGGTGGTAGAGTAGAAGGGGGCTGGGTAGTTGGTAGGTGAGAAGTAGGTGGTTTGGTAATCGGCGGACGCGTGGTAGGGGGTTGTGTAGTCGGGGGGTAGGTGAAAGGGGGTTGAGTGGTAGGAGGTTGAGTAGTAGGGGGCTGTGTGGTTGGTGGCTGCGTTGACGGTGGTTGGGTGGTAGGAGGTTGAGTAGAAGGAGGTTGAGTCGTAGGAGGTTGAGTAGAAGGGGGCTGGGTTGATGGTGGCTGTGTTGTCGGGGGTTGAGTGGAAGGAAGTTGAGTGGTAGGAGGTTGAGTAGTATGGGGCTGGGTTGTCGGGGGTTGGGTAGTTGGTGGCTGTGTAGTAGGGGGCTGGGTAGTTGGTGGCTGTGTTGTCGGGGGTTGGGTGGAAGGAGGTTGAGTTGTAGGAGGTTGGGTAGTAGGTGGTTGGGTGGTAGGTGGCCAGGCGGTAGGAGGTTGGGTAGTCGGGGGTTTGGTAGTTGGTGGCTGCGTTGTCGGGGGTTGGGTAGTTGGTGGTTGAGTTGTAGGATGTTGGGTAATAGGGGGCTGGGTAGTTGGTGGCTGTGTAGTAGGGGGTTGGGTAGTCGGTGGACGCGTGGTAGGAGGTCGAGTAGTAGGGGGCAGGGTAGTTGGTGGCTGCGATGGCGGGGGTTCAGTGGAAGGAGGTTGAGTGGTAGGAGGTTGAGTGGTGGGAGTTTGAGTAGTAGGGGGCTGGATAGTTGGTGGCTGTGTTGTCGGGGGTTGGGTAGTTGGTGGTTGAGTTGTAGGAGGTTGGGTAATAGGGGGCTTGGTAGTTGGTGGCTGTTTAGTAGGGGGTTGGGTAGTCGGTGGACGCGTGGTAGGAGGTTGAGTAGTAGGGGGCTGGGTAGTTGGTGGCTGCGATGTCGGGGGTTCAGTGGAAGGAGGTTGAGTGGTAGGAGGTTGAGTTGTCGGGGGTTGGGCAGTTGGTGGATGTGTCATAGGGGGCTGTGTTGTTGGGGGTTGGGTGGTGGGAGGTTGAGTGGTAGGTGGTTGAGTAGAAGGGGGCTGGGTTGATGGTGGTTGTGTTGTCGGGGGTTGAGTGGAAGGAGGTTGAGTGGTAGGAGGTTGAGTTGTAGGAGGTTGGGTAGTAGGTGGTTGGGTGGTAGGTGGCCAGGCGGTAGGAGGTTGGGTAGTTGGGGGTTGGGTAGTTGGTGGCTGCGTTGTCGGGGGTTGGGTAGTTGGTGGTTGAGTTGTAGGAGGTTGGGTAATAGGGGGCTGGGTAGTTGGTGGCTGTGTAGTAGGGGGTTGGGTAATCGGTGGACGCGTGGTAGGAGGTTGAGTAGTAGGGGGCTGGGTAGTTGGTGGCTGCGATGTCGGGGGTTCAGTGGAAGGAGGTTGAGTGGTAGGAGGTTGAGTGGTGGGAGTTTGAGTAGTAGGGGGCTGGGTAGTTGGTGGCTGTGTTGTCGGGGGTTGGGTAGTTGGTGGTTGAGTTGTAGGAGGTTGGGTAATAGGGGGCTTGGTAGTTGGTGGCTGTTTAGTAGGGGGTTGGGTAGTCGGTGGACGCGTGGTAGGAGGTTGAGTAGTAGGGGGCTGGGTAGTTGGTGGCTGCGATGTCGGGGGTTCAGTGGAAGGAGGTTGAGTGGTAGGAGGTTGAGTTGTCGGGGGTTGGGCAGTTGGTGGATGTGTCATAGGGGGCTGTGTTGTTGGGGGTTGGGTGGTGGGAGGTTGAGTGGTAGGTGGTTGAGTAGAAGGGGGCTGGGTTGATGGTGGTTGTGTTGTCGGGGGTTGAGTGGAAGGAGGTTGAGTGGTAGGAGGTTGAGTAGTAGGGGGCTGGGTTGTCGGGGGCTGGGTAGTTGGTGGCTTAGTAGTAGGGGGCTGGGTAGTTGGTGGATGTGTTGTCGAGGGTTGGGTGGAAGGAGATTGAGTTGTAGGAGGTTGGGTAGTCGGGGGTTGGGTAGTTGGTGGCTGTGTTGTCGGGGGTTGGGTAGTTGGTGGTTGGGTTGTAGGAGGTTGGGTAATAGGGGGCTGGGTAGTTGGTGGCTGTGTAATAGGGGGTTGGGTAGTCGGTGGACGCTTGGTAGGAGGTTGAGTAGTAGGGGGCTGGGTAGTTGGTGGCTGTGTTGTCGGGGGTTGGGTAGAAGGAGGTTGAGTAGTCGGTGGACGCGTAGTAGGGGTTTGTGTGGTCGGGGGTTGGGTGGTAGGAGGTTGAGTGGTAGGAGGTTGAGTAGTAGGGGGCTGGGTAGTTGGTGGCTGTGTTGTCGGGGGTTGGGTAGTTGGTGGCTGAGTAGTAGGGGGTCGAGTAGTCGGTGGACGCGTGGTAGGGGGTTGGGTTGTCGGGGGTTGGGTTGTCGGGGGTTGGGTGGTAGGTGGTCTTTGCGAGCAGTAACCCTTTTGAATGCATGTTCCGTTTAACTCAACCAAGTCCCCTTCGCAGAAACAACCTTCCACCTTAGGTGTCATACACTTGTCTTCATAAGCACATTCATCACAAGACGCTTGGCAACTGGTATGGCAGGTATAATACTTCCTGTGTTCGCCACACGGGCACGTTACGGCTATAGCATGTAAAATAAGAAAAAGCGTAACACAATATCCATGAAATTCATTTTTGTTTATTAAATTGTCTTGATTGTCGAACACCCAATTCATCTTTTTTCACAAAGCCTACCTCCAACATCAGTAAGTTTTCGTTAAATATCTTTAAGTTTGTTTGTTTCACCTGACTGCCAAGAAAACATGTGTATGCTTGTAAGCAAGCAACCAGGGTTGCCAATGGCTTTAGGTCCTGTCCGAGGGACTTAGTAATGAGGAGTAAAGCCTTACCAAAGGACACTGGCGCATCGACTTAGTTTCGAACCTGGAACCTTCCGGTTACGAGACCACTGTTCTACCACTGACTCATCGTGTCTCCTTTTCTTTAAAATATCTTTCTTTAGGATTAAGTAAATGTTCATAGATAGCATTTTCTAGGATTTACGATATCGTCGTCATTTTGGTTAGTTCAATCATGTCTAGTGCTAATAAGTTCTTGGGAAAGAATGGGTCTGGATCTATCGAGAAAAAGTAGAGTACGTTGAAGGTGTTGTGACAAGACCAATCGCAGAGGTAAACAACCTGAAACCTTGTAATGACTATTCGACTATTTCACGTTACTACTTTCGGAATCAGAATGAGAATCAGAAATGTTCTCTTTTTTTGTTTGCTGGTCCAAACAAGAAATGAAAGAAAGAAACTCTTTTAGCTACATGTCTTTAGTTTAAGTTCGTTATATTTATATTATAACTATTTAAATATACTTGTACTTGCTTGTATTTTTAGTTTGTCAAGCGCATAGAGAAACTTCGGGTTATTATGCGCTCAATATATATCTTTATTATTATTATTATTATTATTATTATTATTATTATTATTATTATTATTATTATCTTTAATATTATTGTTATTTTATTATTATTAATGTTGTTGTTTTTGGTGTTGATATTATGTTTTGTACTATTGATAGGTTGCTGTAAATCATATTCCATGCAAAATATAAAGAGAGAGATTAAGTGACAAGTTTAACTGAAGGAGAAAGATAGTAGTGTAAAATAAATTTCCTAAACATGACAGGCCTGGATGCGAGAAGAAAAAGCTGACAGCATGGGTATGTTTTTGTGTGTAATTGTCATTTTCTATAAAGTAAGAATCTTTTTTTAAATCATTGGGAAGGGAATTCTAAAATGTAAGTCCGATAAAACTAACAAAATCATTACCAAGTAGCTTTCTCATGTTTGGCCCGCTAACCTAATGAGGTAGCTATGTAATTCCGTGTTATTCCTTAACATAGTTTTAAAAAATTCATTTAACTCATTTCAGTTAGTCATTTCGACTGAGCGAAAGCCTACAAAAGCCGAAAATTATAAGAAAACAGATCACTATCTTTGAAACCTTGTTAGAGTAAAAGAGTGTATCTGAATGTGACCCGAAAGCATAAATGACTTCCACTGCTGGTCATAAAGGTGGAATAATTGTTTTACCTCAATTTATGGAATTATGTTGACAATGATTTATTCTTAATAGATCTAGATAATATACATTCTCAGATGTTATTGAATAATAGTTTGCGAGTGTTTGTTTCGCGTGACTGCTAAAGCGTGTGTATGCTACTATGCTTATCAACTTGTATTATTCAATAAAATTCGAGAATGTATACTATTATCTAGATCTATTAGGAAAAAAAATCATTGTCAAAATCATTCCTTGAATTGGGGATTAAAATAAATTATTCCACCTTTATGACCCATAGTGCATATATAATTGTGGCGATCGGAAAACTGACAGCTAACTTCAGTCTGCGATTACAGGTCTGAGTAAGGTATTTGAACGACGAGCGTAGCATTTGTATCAGCTGTGACAATGTGATCAAACCCCATGATCCGTCTAGAAAGTATATACATACCGATGGCCCTATGACATCGATTAACTATTACTATGATGCTGATCAAGAACAATATGAATTCATCCTAATACATCATAATAGTATCTAATGAATTTTTATCATAGTCGATCATGGCTGGTTTACTTTCAGACACATACAATTAATTCACGAGCACCCGCAGCGAGCGACCGATTCATTTTTATTTTTCATTTTTCATTTTTTTTTTTGGAGGGGGGGGGGGGGTCGAGACAATTTGAGATTTTCCATTCAAGTCAAACGTTCTAGTGCGTGATCAATGCATTGTTTCTTTTTGCTTGTGTGTACATTAGAATTTCAGTTTTATAGTGGGCATGGTGGTAGATTATGTATATTCATTTACATCATAAAGCATTGGGTAAGTAAAATATGTATGCCATTCCCTCTCCTACGCCAATGAAAGACATCGAAACCCTCACTGACGAATAGGCCGACATTTCTGATGAGTCATGGAACGTAATCCCAATATTTTTTGGACCATTTTGATAAACTTGATCAGCAAGGCCTAATATTTGTATGTGTCTTGAAGACAGAGTTGAGCTTTAGTCATGCGATTGCATTATGAAATAAACTGTGGAAGTGAGTGCTCATGTAGCAAATAAGTATTGGTGTATACTGTCAGGTTTTGGAGTTGATAATATGATTTGCTAAACGTCACATGCTCACAGAAATGTGTATATGAAACTGAACGAAAAATTGGCATGAAGGGAGGTCCACCATCTTTAGCCGTTACTAGTTATATTTCGACTTTGACGGCATTTGAAAAGCCTTCCTTTTCAGAGGCCTTTGTACTATGACACTCTTCCACACTAACCTAAAAACGAACTTAAAATGCTGAAAAAAATATTCATCACCTTTCTAAGAAAAGACTCAACCTGTTCTTTAAATGTAAGTCCAGGTCTACGTGGAATAGGTTGACTTTACTCACGACACATGTGATCAGCGCGCCAATCTGCGCAGACTCCTTTCTCAATACACTTTTGAGAGTAGACTGATATCGCATCACACAGGCAATCTAAACCGTCGCCGCGATAACACTTGACGCTGTCATCGACGCAGTGGTCAAAATATGGCTTTGGGCTGACCTGCCGAGTAAAATAAAAATAGATTATACAAACGATGCATGCAAATTAGTTCTTTATACGATCTATCCGCAGTTGAGTTTAAGGTTGTATTCCGGTAATGAAGGGATGAAAACATGCGTAATTTGTTTTATTGAACAGAATCCCTAGATTCTACTGCACTTGAACGCACTGGCCCTAATTCAGGTTTGTAAAAAACGTGTCAAAACGCGTCATATGACGTACATAAACCTCGGTTTGTCGACAAACCGCCTTTGTGAATTCGGGCCACTATGTTCAGATTGCGTAATATATTCTTGCAATATTATTAGACAATGAACACAGCTTTTCAGATTATTAACATTGTTAAAGTTATACGCTTGAAAGGGAACCAAAACCTTCATACTTAGTTACGTTTATTGTAAAGTTTAAGAAGTGAATAAAATCAGTGAAAATTTGTACAAAATCGGGCAAGGAATTTCACAATTATTTCGTTCTCTTCGTATTTATTTGTGTTCTTGATCCGACTTCATAACATGTGAAGTAGAATATCATTTTGCATTCTATACCTTGCCTTCAGGGGAGCAGATTATCTCAATCAAAAGCAGGAAGAAAAAACATGAAATTTGAAGTACAAAAGGCATGGAGAGTTGTCCACAAATGACGTATGAAATTGAATATCGCCCTCTAGTGACTAATCATTTCAAAAAGCTTTAACTTCCTTATTCCTTGCCCGATTTTTTTCAAATTTTCACTGATTTTATTCAAATATCTTAAACTTTACAATAAAAATAATTTAGTATGAAGGTTTTGTTTCCCTTCAAGTTGGAATATCTTTAATCAATGCTTGTCTCAAGGCATTTTTTTTTCGTTGTTTCGTGAAATATCTCCGACGCAGAACTTAAAATCTGTATAATCCAATATAGTTCAGTCTATTTTTATTCATTCAAGACAAAAATGAAAGAAGGAAAGAAGCTAAAAGCCATTTACATTATAATATAAACAGTTGTGGATTAAATAGCAGAACCTGCCTCCCACCTTTGAAGTCTAATTACTATACCCTAAGTAATTATTTGAAAAAGTTCCCCTAAATTGTGAAATCTTTCGAAATTGTACTCAACCGCCTTTTCTATTTTGTTTTGTTATCTCAGATCCGTCCATGATTATAATAAAAGCGATATCGAAGGAAAAAAGTATCGAAACAAATAAGAATAATTGTTTTCTTCTCAATTCAATGAGAGCATCAGGATAGAGGATACCGACATTTATCATAATAATAAGTTTTCAGTAAATTTCTCGTTCACCTATAAAGAAGCTACGTTCCTTTGGGAAAACTATCACTTTGTTCTATGAAATTTGCTCCGTCGACGACATTGCCCTCGCGGTCATAATTGTGCTACTTATGCCGAATCCGTTATTCAAACCCTGGCGCAAACCCTATTCTCTTCCTATGTAACGCTTAACTTAATTTATTTTTTAATGCAACCCGGCCATAACCCTGTATCTCCGACAAAAGAAATCTCGAAAGCATTGATTTAGAAGAACCTAACAGTCACTTACATATGCATGGCATTCGGAGAAAATCTCCGAATTGATTACATCACATTTACTCTCCGCCCATGGACGTCGAGCTTGCTCTATTTCATTGAGACATTCGAGATTCGTGGCTCTGGCAGGAAGGCAGGATCGAGTGGCCCAGCTGTCCACAAACTCATTTATATCTGAAATTTCAAGTGAAAACACACACACAAAATCACCACAGTGATAATGCTTAGTTTATATATACAGTGCGTCCCAGAAAAAAAATCGAACCGAGAATTATCGATGTTTTATCATAACTTAATCACAATTATAATTGATAGATGACATATATTTTTTAAGCTTAGATCCTCCTCTTTCATTTGATGCAACTCTTATAATGCGTATTTCACGCACAAAGAAAACGAAATACTTCAAGCATGAAGGATCTTCAACGAAACGGAGTTTACTGTCTGTTGCTATGACAGGCAGCCAGTGAAAACTAATTCTGTTAATCAAATTATGGAAATGCTAGCATTACTTTAAACAAACAGAGCGTTGTTATTCCTGGCTAATTGATCGTGAGTGAGGTATCAGAAAATGCATTTCGCCAAATGACTTTGTGGTACCGTTTCTTCAAATTGTTTTTAATCACTCATGTGTGAAATATGCATCATGTGAGTGAAATAAAATGAAAGAGGAGGATCTAAGCTTTTCAAATATCGTCCTTGTTTTCACGAAGTGACGGTAGTGAGGAAAATCGTAACGCAAAGTGAATGCAATTTTTTTTCACTACCGTCACTTCGTGAAAACAGCGACGATATGTGTCATTTATTTAATATAATTGTGATTAAGTTATGATCAAACATCGATATTTCTCGTTTTCGTTTTTTTTTTCTGGGACGCACTGTATAACCGCGACACAAAATGGCAACGATCTACACAATCAAACGAGTTAATACAGAACATTTCATATGACAACCCGGATACAGCGGTTATTATCTGTAGACGCCTCTTGTTCATTGCTTATTGTGTTACTTGGCGTAACTTGCGGGAGTGTTTTAAAAATCAAAAGCCTCGTGTACATCAAGTTTAAACTCTTTATATGCCATAAACATAATGGCCCGCATTCACAAAGGAGGTTTGTAGACAAACCTTGGTTTTCGTACGTCATATGACGCGTTTTTACGCGTTTTTGGTTTGTAAAAACGCGTCGAAACGCGTCTAAACGCGTCATATGACGCACGAAAACCAAGGTTTGTCGACAAACCTCCCTTGTGAATTCGGGCCATTATCCCTGTGCAACATTGTTTTCATTATAGGATAGATACAATTAATTAAAGGCTTCAAGATTGGTCAGCTGTTGCCAGGAACTAATGAGGACCAGAAATGGGTAATTTCGGAAAGCCGTTGAGTTGCACAAGACAATTCTTTAGTCAATTAAAGCCGATTAATATGTGCAAACGTGCACTTGTGTCAAACGGGCGATAGTACAAAAAAGCGAAGAAAACAATCGAAGAGTTAATCAAGACCAGAAATGGGTAATTCTGCAAAGCGATTTTGTGGCACAAATCAATCCATCGGTCAATCGGCGCCAATTGTTTTGTGTAAAATTGCATTTGAGTCAAACAGGCTACCGTGCAGGGAGGCAAAAAAAACAAGCAAAGAGTTAAAAGTGGCATACGTCACCTCGTGTAGTATCTCCTTGCTGTTTGAGAAAGTCGTCGTCGGACCGGCCGTCAAAGTTGCCACATAAACCACAGACTTTTTCTTTGAAACGTTCCTCAACCGTAATAGTTACCATGTTTGCCCCATCCCACATGATCGCTAAACCTGTTGGGAAGTGAAATCTAAATGAGTAATTAGTCATGGTGATGATGATGATGATGATGATAATGAGAACTATAATAATAACAATCTTCATGATTATGATAATAATAATAATAATAATAATAATAATAATAATAATAATAATAATAATAATAATAATAATAATAATAATAATGTTTTTTACCCAAGGAAGCCTCATCAGCGTCAATGCTGTTTTTCACGAGGGCCCTACATTTATTATAATCCTAGCAAGTACTAGGTACCTATTTCTTTGAACCTTGGTGGATCGAAGGAGGCAACTATATCAGTGCCTGACTGGGATTGGAACCACTACCCTTGGATCGAGAGTCAAGTGCAGGAATCACTTTTCCACGATACCTTAACCTTCTTAATAAGGGGTCAAAAATAGTTTTCCTTATCATTCTATTTTTTTGAAAATCACTTTTCTGAGTAGAACACAACCTGCACAAATTCAGCAGGAAACGCTTGTGACTCAGAAAAATCTCATGTTTAAAGTCCATATCCGATCTGAAAAATGAAATGGATGAATTATATATCAACGGTAAGCTTATAAGCCATATATTACAATAATATCAATTATATGCCATTTTAGTGTCTGTCAGAGGAGTATCAGCTCTCTTAAAACTCAAAATCTAAAGCTTTCAAAAAATCGGGAGTTGTAGACCTAAAAACCTTGCTATCGACTTGATGACATCATATTATGTGGAGTACGCATATTCACAATGATTTTGCATTAAATAAGCACTGCTAATCACCTCAGCTATATAGACGAACGGATAGGGTCCACATGTTATGTCGTCACTGTAACTTCGGCAAATTTGACCCCTGTTGACCCGTAATTTGGAGGGGTGCGGAAAATGAGGTTTCAATTTGCTTTTGTGCAATAACGATAGGGTAAATACTTTGTATTCCTTTTTATTTCTATTCTACAATCATTAATTTTTCCATTTATATCAAGTTGTATTTTCATCGGATAGGGTCTTTAGATGATTTAATCGCAGCATGCGGAGCAACAAGTACGACTATACTCTACAAAAAGGACTGTACTCAATAGAAGAAGAAGAAGAATAACAAGATATGAAATGCTGAAACGGATGGCTCAAGACCGAGGTACTTGGAGAGACACTTGATGTAGAATTCTGATTGGGCCACTGAACCTGTCATGAACTGACAGATCAGTATTGATGATAAGGAGGGTCTTGAATACGGATTCGTGCATTCATCGCGCCTACCGATAAATTCGTGATGTAAGATATATAAATCTCATTCTGTGTATTTTAGTTTGAAGGATTATCCAATGGATTGTTCAATGGAAGGGATCAATATTGTAATGCCTAATTCAATAGCTGAAAGTTTTGTGGAACTTTGGACCAAACGTAGTTTTTTATGTCGTTCGAATACGTGCCTTCATACCGGACCATGGTGTAAATACCACCTACTTCCTTGGTGCAAATGTCCGAAGTATTGGGTGTTAGTATGGGATCTGATCCCCGAATGAGAACCACAGTAACGTTTGGGAATGTGATGTGAATGGCTTTGGTACAGGCCCAAGCATCTTCTCCGCAGTCCAAGCTCTCGATCTCAACTCGAAAAGTCTCATTAGAATTGTCATTGCATCCATCAGTAGACATGACGTAAGAACATCGCCCTGTTTAAAAAAAAATGTGCAAAGTTGTGATCTTGTTTTTTTCATTCAGTTATCTATTTATTTAATTATTTATTTGTGTATTGATTTATTTATTTATTCATCAAACTGTTTACAACTTATTTCATTCTTTATATATTTGTTCGTTTATTTATTTATATATATATATATATATTATCCATTCACTTATTCATTTATTTATTTGTTCAACTATTTAGTAATTCATTAATTCTTTAATTTATTCATGCTTTCATTCATTAATTCATTTATTGTTTGAAACAATTGACATCGTTGGGGTACATGCGTATACGACACGAGTTGTTAAAAAACGGACTGACTGTATATTCACAGGCCTTACGTTATTTGGTTACCAACCAAAGACTTCAAACTATCCGTCATTGCCGTTGGGAAAAAGGTTAATCAAAATGGAGGGTTTCTCCTGGAATACGAAGGCTCTCCAATACATCATCGTCTATCTTCCGAGTAATCCCGCATGGTATGATATCCCAGGACTATTTTTTTCAACTCATTTCGCCGAGTTTGAGATATGTATGAATCTTTGTGAGTACACCATCAAGTGAAGTCTAATTATGCATGATAACTAATAATAAACTATTTTTTATAGTTGGCGTTTTTTCTTCTTTAAAGATGAAGTTGAGTTCTGGTCATGCGATTGCATTGTGAAAGAAACGGTGTGGAACCGACCAGAAAAGGTTGATCATCTTGCATATAAGAATTTGTGTGTATTGCAAGGTTCTGGAATCATCAAAATGATAAGAAATTTGGCCAAGACTTGGTAAAGTTACAAACACTGTACACAGAAAGATGTATATGGGACTACACGAACACGTGGCGTAAAAAGCCGCCCCCCCCCCCCCCGATTTTCACGATGTTACATGCATATTTGGAATATGAAGGCAATTGAAGAGCCATGCTTTTCAGGGAACATGTCTTATCTGATGTTCTTCCACACTTGCATAATAAGAATGAGTAACGCTCACAAATTATTTTTCACCTCTTCCCTGAACTCAACCTTTTCTTTAATACAAAATAGCGATAAGAGATGGCAAGTGAGTGCGTCCTACCGTTGTGGCTGAAAGTCTTATCGTCATACGTATTGAACGAAGAGAGACCAAAGGCCCAACAAGAACCTAAACAGGGGAGAGAAATTCTTATTTTATTTTAATTATTGTATGCATCCATAAAGCTCAAATGGAAATTGTTTCACTATGTATTGAACTCTATTTCACTGGTGAAAATTTTACATATTTTCCTATTCGAGATATCTTTTCACTTATTTGATATGAAAAGTACGTTGATCTACTTCCAATATTTAATGTGTCGTTGTTCACTTCATGACGGTTAATTATAAATGTTCATGTGCTTTAATTAGAAAACGCCGAGTAAACAGTAAAATAAAATACCAAAAGATAAAACAAACACAAATATAGTCATTTCTTCTTATATTTCATGCTTAATCATGTTTTGCTTCGCCAATATAATTCTAACAGTCTGTTACCATTGGTCATTAATTTATACAAGAGGTTAAAATATAACTACTTTCATTCGAAATTTTACTTTAAAACGTCAGAAAATCGGGTAAATTGAACCATGGAGCTATTTACGTCTATACACACGAGTCTTACAGTACGGGTTGTATATACAATGAGGATTTACCTTCAGTATCACGCGACGCACACTCCCAAAACGCTCCTGGTTTACAAAGACTGAAATTAAAAATGCAAGAAAAAATCCCGAGAAAGAATGGTTACAAGAAAGCACAGGAAATGCAATGTCTTTTTTTAGAACCAATCACCGTAATTATGCTGGTGTCAAGGCTTTTTCACAAAGATTTATATTTTCCTGAAGGCAAATCTTCAAAAGATGACTTTTACAATTATTGATACATTGAAACACTGAAATGCATATCAGGCTACCGGATTCTTGTTATTACAAATTATTTCATTTTAATTTGTGAGGCTCTTTTAAAACTGCCCATGGTTATCATTTCCCGTGCAAAACAGGATATTATTATTATCATTATTATTATTATTATTATTATTATTATTATTATTATTATTATTATTATTACATTTATTTCATCATAATCATCGTCATAACTATCATCATCGTTATTGTTATCATCATATTATTATTACTATGAGTAGTAGTAGCACTATTATGAATATTTCATCATCATTATTCAAATCATCATCATGTATTATTATTTTCGGTGTAGTAGTTGTCATTATTATTGCCATTATCATTAATACCATTACTATTGTTATTATCATTAACATTGTTATTCGCTGTAGGCCTAGTATAATTTTCATCATTAATGCCATTATTATTAATACCATTATTATTATTGTGATTATCGTTATTATCATCATCATCATCAACATCATTATAATCGATGAAACTACAGATGCACTGGAAACCAACCATAGTTTATCTGGTGTTGGCCTTATTGAGTAGACAGCGTAGGTCTCGTTGCCGTACAGACACGGACAATCGGCCGCTGCTACGCACTGTCCGTTCCATTCATCGAGCACCGAGCCTTCAGGGCAGGCACATCCACCTAGACAATCCTCTCCTTCCGAGCACAACACGGAGTACAGATTGGTGCAGGTCTTGGCGCAGGCGCAGGTGCTATACTGTTGGCCGTGCTCACACACTGTGAAACCAGGGTCAGATATTGAATACGAATGCATCAACGAAAGAAGGGGTAAGTCATCAACAACAATAAAAACAAATATTTTGGTTTACTCTTTGAGATATGTGTACAAGAAAAGATGCGTTAAAAATCACTGATACAAGAATATCCATTATTGAACCCATGAAAAAGAAAATGCATCGTCTCTTTTACTTAAAGAAAGTATCAATTTTATTCTCGAAAATTACATTTGGTTGAAATGGTTTGGGGCCTTTTTGTATGTCCTGTAGTCAATTAAAAGTTTATAGTTTCTTAATACCAAGTTTACATTAAATAAATCAATGATTCAAATGCATAGAAAATAAAGACTACCCCAAAAATACAGGTATTTAATTTAATTAACTATAATGTACGGTAAATAAGCAAAGTGTTTCGAAGGATGTATATATACACCGGGCAAAATAGAAGCAATGTAAAATGTAAGGAGCCTAAATAAAAAGGAAAAGGTTATATACGGTAAGGCTCCAGTATCAAAAGAGTAGTATTATACAGTTCGGTTAATATTCAGTAAAAGGAGGCACGTAAAGGTAGTACCAAGTTTAAGAAACGTGCATTATATTCAAGGAGAACATACGAAGTAAAGAGAGAATTAATTAATTTGGTATTTGGGTAGGTATCGTTTTTTTTTCAGATTAATCTACTTGGATGGAAAACGAAAGTAATATCTCTGAAGCTAAACATCCTCTTAATTGGTCGATTGATTTGTGGAGGCCAAAGTGTGGATTTTCCTCTGTAAAATGACTGAAGTTTGTAACAAAATTTATAGGCAATAATGGAAAACTTAAAAACATAAATTTGATACAAAATATGACAAAAAATAAACATGGAGGGCTGAACCATGGAAGGGGTAGTTTGTTCTGCGACTGCCCTCGCTTCCTAAGACCAACTTTACTCTTGGGACTTTGCCTTGATTTTCACGGGTTCTAGATGTTAGGAGGGGGCTTGTATCGGCTTCACCTTCTACTTAAAGTTCTACTTTATTGACTCTCAGAAGAAACATGGTAAATCAAGACTATCATTTTGGTAATCATCATATTCAGCTCCAGGGGATTACATTCTCGTCGATGTGTCATCTTTTAGAGAGTATTTCAGTGGCGGGATCAGGGCTCTCTGACAGTGTGACGAGGGAGGGGACTCAAGTCGGACAATTCTGTGACAACTAAAAGGAACAAAATAGAAAAGGTTTTCAGCGTGTTGGCGTGCTGATTTGACTAAAAAAATGATCTGATAAGCAGAAAATTAAATCATCAGCCCACGCTTCTTCTTTTATTTAACCTTTTTTGTTAACCCGCTCCACTCTTTGAGGGAGGCACTTGGCCCTGCCCGCATCCGCCCCTCATATTGTAATGTAACTAACCTTTGCATTCGACTTCCTCGCAAGTATAATGTCCAGCCATACAGATGCTGTAATGGAAGATATCAAATTGGAATAACATGATAAGGAAGTCCATTGCCTCTCTGAGGTTCTGTTTATCCCCTAAAAAGGGTCTTACATTGAACTTAGGGGTCCCTTTCCCTAAACCTGTCCTTACCTCAAGTGTTTGAAGGGACTGTGAATTTTGTATGTTACCCCACCCTCTCCTCACTGTTCAACAATTCTGGCTATGCTATGCCAGTGATGCCGAACAATATCATCATATTAAATATGAAAATAGTGTTTAGGTTGTTTAGTTACACAAAACGATACCCTCGAATTCACTACAGGTGAGCACAAATAAAGTTATAGACGTTAGTAAATTGTTTAAAGGAATTTTACACATCGACATTTGTCGACTATCTGCACCTGCAAAAGATATATATGCTCCGGTATCTGGAGAAATCGGCCGACAGAATCCGAAATATGCATTTTGCACAAAGACATGGGCGCCATTTTAATTTACGAGTAAACAAATTGTTTACTCGTAATTCAAAATGGCGCCCATATAAATATGATGTGAGCGCACAGCGCAGGCAGTGACGCAACAATACATGCGCATCTGAAAACATTGATGACGCAATGTTTACGCGAAAATTAAAATGGCGGCCTTAACCGTGACGGGATGTATTGCTCCAAGCTTTATTTGAAGCAGGCGAGATTGCTCAGTAATAGAGCAGTGTTCTCGGGACTGGGAGCGCCTAGTTCGAAACCAAGTAGATTCGCCAATGCCCTTTGTTACCATATTATTCCTCATTACGAAGTCACGAGGAGAGGACTTAAAGCCGTCGATCCCCTTGTTGCTTACTACAAGCGCACATAATTATGCTTTAATAGCAGTCAGATAAATTATACTAGTATTTATATAACGCTTTATTCTGAAGTTTCTAAGCGCTCTACTATTTTACCCCAGTATTACCCGAGTGGCCCTAACAAGGCTTTGTGGCATTCGGGGAATTTGCATCGCGTGGGTAGAGAGTGGCAAATGCAGATCAATGTCTTGCCAAAGATAACGTCCTTACCAATGTTCACACTCCGTGTTCCACTCATCACCGACTTGCTGTATTTTCCCGTTTGTATTGATACAAGGGCACATGTCACTCTCCACGCACCTTTCCGAATAGTCATCAAAGACCTGCAAAATACACGGTGTGCCTTTAGTTTTTAACTTAATACCACAACTACAAAGCTTCTTTGAAGAAGAAAAAACATAAACTACAGTCATTGAATGATATAATGAGTTCATGATTGACCGTATGTTTTGCAAAGAACAGAACAAAATGGTTTATCTTGAACTACCCCCATTAAAAAAGAAAAATCATGCATTGCGGGAACATCAAGATAATCTACTCCGATCATGCACATAACATGGGGAGTTGGTACCAACGAGGAGTGGGGAGAAGGGGAAGAGGATAACGAGAATAAGAAGAGGAAAGGAGTTACATCTATCTATACAGAAGTAATTGATTTCAACTGTACTACCTGAAAGGATAAGTTGTCTGTGCACACAAATTTCATTTGGAAATGCAAAGGAAGAAAAGAAGGGAAATTGCAATAAATTGATGAGTTTTATTTACCTCGTTGTCTGCATCACCTCAAATTGTTATTCATTTATTTTAAGAACAAACAAAAACAATAAAATTATATTGATACAAGGACACAAGAAGTGTCCAAAAAAAGAAGGAGGAGGGGGATGAGAAACTAATATTATTTATCCTAAAGAAAATAGAGACATGAACTCGTAGGTAGAATTTTGAAATATCCGGGGAGGGGTGGATTGATGTGTTATGACATTACTACACGGTATATTTTAATCAAGTGATATCTGAATGCATCTTAATGCACATTTACCCCTTTCTCTGCCCTTCGATCCTTATTCCTGAATAAATCTCTACGAGTGAAAAAAGACAACAAAACAACATTTACTGAAACCAGAATTATGGGGTAAGGTGGGTAATTGAAGATGGGGCAGAAGATGGGGCAGATGTCATTTTGAGAATTATTTTGAAGCCAAGGATATTGGAGGATTTGTAGCTGCCTCTTACTTTACCATGTTATCGTATGTATTATAGAGGGAATGTTTGCCTGATTTTGTTTATTTTATGTGTTCAGATGCGGCGCCCCCCCCCCCCCAGGAAGGGGCATAAGGGGGACACAGTGCCACTCACCCCAACTTGTCCATGTATCCCAAAAGTACCCCTTTTTATGTAGGAAATGTGCACTTCTTAATTCACATAAATGCCCATAATACTTTGACAGGTGCCCTATTTTCTCCGTTATGAATACCATTTTTCTCTTCGTATAAGTGCCTCTTTTCATCTCTGATGAGTGCCCCCATATCGGTTCGAGAAGTTTGATTAACAATGATGCACGTTTCTTATAAAACGCTGTATCACTAACTGATCAAAGCGGTTCCTGTATACCCAGTCACCGGATTCAATAACTTGTCTGCACATTATATAGTACACATTCTAGTCGCCTTTTTTAACGAAAATAATGTTCGTATCATACCGGGTACCCATTTAACACGTGAATTGGGTTGAGGGGGTGCAATTTAGAAAAAATACATTAGTGACTAGCCGGGGAAACGAACCAACAACCCTAGCTTTTCCAATCAAGCGATTAACCCACTCGACATATTGAGCGCCTTAGCACGATGGCTCGACTGCAAAAAAAGCCGCAATAGTCAACAAACTATTACCAATACATAATAATCAGTGTTATTTTTATGACCATTGTCAGAGTAAAAATTGCCATTGTTTCGTATACCTTTAGCTAGCACTATGAACATGACGAACAAAGAAAGAGGACAAAATATACAGTTCCTCATTCTATCCTCAACAATTGCTGTGGTAGACAAAAGAAAACATCCCTTCACTGCTATTATGTAAAAATGTGTAGAACAGGTGAATATGCGTGTGACACCTGTTTTACACATTTTTACATAATAGCAGGGAAGGGATGTTCCTTTGTCTTCCTGAGGTACTGTATATAAATTGTCCTCTTTCTTTGTCCGTCATATTCATAGTGTAGTCTACGCCTTACCGTGCCATTGGGGCAGAAGCATCCTGCGTAGCAAGTTTTGTCCTTTGCTCCTGCTTGAGCCATACGAACTTCACTACAGAGAAGCTGGATTCGATGCGGACAGTCCAAGTAAACTCGACCAGCCGGGCAATCCTCAATTTCTTTTGAAAATATAAAAATAATTTTAGATTTCCCTACCACAAAGTTGAGCACTAAATACGAAATGTTGTTATTAATTATATCTTGCATTTTGTATTTATTCTTCTAAGTGTATGTATCATAAGCAGTAAATTATGTAGCCGTGAATGAGTTATATTTTGGAGGAAGGGCCACGAGCTCTTGGCCTTAGGGATACCAACGATATAGAAGACACGATTATTGAACAGAAATACTTTTTTTTTTTAAATCTATATAACATTTAACATGTGCAATTGCGCATATTTAAGTATTATTTTGATATTGAACACGAGTTGATTATAGGAATCGTGGATCTTAAATCAATGCGTTTAGTATGTTCAGTTTGCCTCCGTCAGATATTACGCACACTATGAACATGACAGACAATGAAAGCGGACAAAATATACAGTTCCTCAGGTAGACAAAGGAACATCCCTTCACTGCTATTATGTAAAAACGTGTAGAACAGGTGATATGCATGTGACACCTGTTCTACACATTTTTACATAATAGCAGTGAAGGGATGTCCCTTTGTATACCTGAGGAACTGTATATTTTGTCCGCTTTCATTGTCTGTCATGTTCACAGTGGCAGTAAAACCGCGCTGGTTATAAGTTCATTTTGCTTAATATATAATGACGTAAGAATATATAATGACGTAAGGTCTAATACGCTTCAGATTTCTGTATCATAATATCTAGAATGTCATCTATCCCCTAGTATTGGCTGAGATATGACCATCTAAATAAATAGATTTCCCAAAGGAACTCAGTGTTATTTATTAACACATTACGAGCCAGAGCAAAATAACACTGATGTAATGTGTTAATAAATAACAACCTTTGGGAAATCTATTTATTCAGATGGTCATATCTCAGCCAATACTTAACATATTCAATTGGTTTTCGACATTTGGACATTATTTTCTGATGCTCTTTCGGAAAACGAAGAAAAAATTGAGAAATTCTAAAAAAAAAAAATTAAAAAAAAATATTATGATGTCACAGCTTCGTATCCGGACACCTACCCCCTGGACATCCACCCCCGGATAACCACCCCAGTCAACTACCCCTGAGGAAAACTACCCCCTAGGGCAACCACCCTCTAGGACGACTACCCCACGGGACAACTACCCCCAGACAACTACCCCCTACCCCCTGGATATCCACCCCCGGATAACCACCCCAGTCGACTACCCTTGAGGACAACTACCCCCTAGGGCAACCACCCTCTAAGACGACCACCTCCGGGACATAATGGACCAATAATGCCCAAGCAGACGACAGCCCATAAAGAATGAACACAATTGCAAAGCTATTATTTTTCAAATTATAATGAGTTTAGTATTTATAAATGTGATGGCATTTCGAACCATTCAAAAGGGGATATGAAGCCGATTCTGATAACTAAATTTTTTTGTTTGTAAATACACAGGATAGGGATTTATTAGCAATCAGAGAAACCAGACATTCGAATTGAAAAAACCCGGAATGATATTTAGGACGGCATTTGTTCCCTCTTGAAACGCCGAACAAACCGCGGTGTGTGCAGTTGAATATACAATGGCGTCTTATTTTGTTTACATGCGACAGATTCCTTTATTTTTGTATCGCTGCATTTGTCGTCAAAATAAAACCATGCGCGGGGTTTAGAGTGAGGCATTAGATTATACATTTAGCCTGATGGTAGTGAAGTAAGAGAAAGAACTCAAGAGAAGATGAAAAAACAGGCACCGAAATAGCGTTTTGTAATTTATAATAATCACTACTTCGAATGTTTCCAAGCATTGAATTTTGATAACCTTGTCGAATCAAAGTTTCAACTTTGTAATAATGAAAATAAGATTAGTTTTTTTAAATCAATGAATATCTACTTTAAGGGTATCACTTACCGCAATTGCTGTATCCGGGCCAAGAGATTACTTGTCCCTGACGGGCACACTCGGCGATGTAGGCTAGGAAAGCGGGGCATGTACTCTTTTCAAGAGTCCCTAAATCCGATGCTAATTTAGGGCAAGCGAGGGTCCAGCAGTCCATATGAAACTGCTCGTACGAAACTACCCCGTGGCAGCTGTGGAACGCCTGCGTCGTGAACAGACCACAACGCTCTTGTACTTGCAGATGATATAGCTGATCTATCCTGCAATACCCAGGGGATACGGCGTAGGTAGGTAGGGTAGATGGAGTTAGGCAGAAAGACCTCCATCTTGTTCCAAATATCAAGGGGTCCACGGTTATCTCACCGGTTGGCAGAGTCAGATCATCGTTGATTGCTCCGTTGAATAAGCCGCACAATCCCCAAACCTGCCGATAGATTATAAAGTGGCATTCAAGGTAGTGAGTATAACATTAATCACTTAGTAACTGTTGCGCCCTTTTTTTCAAGTGTTCAGGATTGAATGCTGTTTTTTACACGAATTTGTCATTACTTGATAATTCCTACGGTTGTTTTTTTTTTTAGTACAATTTTTTTAAACAAACAAACAACATTATATATTTCATTTACCATGTGCAACATCAAACAACATTTTATGAAGAGTTTTTTTTACGCGAAAGGAAGGTAAATGGTTCCGTAGCTTAAAGCTCATCTTGAGCTCTGGTATGGGCATCGGTTGTCGAGAGAACATGGCTAAATTTCATTTTGGATTGTTTATCCTGCAGAAGATTGATTGTTTGAACCAGTAAAATAAAAACAACCTCACAAAAACTTGCTGGAAATCATCTTCAATAAAAAAACACAACTCTCATTTGCACATAGGGACCTGTGTTTAATAGCACATGGTGTCGGGCCTACTTACCTTGATTTCCTTATCTTTCTATGCTCATTATTCAGCCGCTATATATATTCTACCAAAATCGTTTGGCACAAGTCATTTATATGTAATCTTGAACATTAAAGTTCTTGTATGTTATATTTACCAGAACTCAAGTTTATCTTAAATCAAAGCTCTCAATAACTGTCTTCTCTTATGGTTATGTATGTGTTTTGTTATTGCAAAGGTTGCACAATATATATACGGAGAGAGATTCGATCGGATTTCCAATCCCACAAAACAAAAAACAAAAATATTCAATAAAATTGATTTGAAAATTCAAATAAATTGTACTCAAATCAAATGTATTTGCATATTAACAAGAAATTAAACAGCGGACTGCCTACCCCACCACGGAGAGAGTCTGCCGCTGTAATCTCCAAATCTGACTTCCAATCCCACATGATAGTGATACCAAAGTTAGTGTTGATGAGCAGATAATTATCCACGATATTTCTCACCACAACCCCATCGAGAAACAGTGGCAGTTTCATGTTATCGTTGTTCTTAAGCACCGATCGGTCCTCAAGAAATCTGCAGCGGGTATGATAAAAGCAGGGCGGATCCGGGATTTTGTATAAAAGAGGGGCACAATATGAAAAATATCTCTCACGAGGAAAAATAGTTATCACATTTTGGAGTGACTTCTACTCAAAAATACGCTGACATGCGGAAAACAGGTCATCACGTCAAAAGAGGGACTGGGTACAGCTCTACATAAGTATACTCGATTTGAATTAAATTTATTTTGTTCTGCAGATCATACAAATCATATCGAATTTTAGTGATAGAACATATCCAAAATATAACTTTTTTTACGTTTATTCAATATAATACTAATATAGATGTTGACATTCAAACAAAATGTAACTTATAACACACTACCAAACAAATATTCATTAATAAATCTGCAGAAGAAGAAGGTCTATCACAGTAAGCGCTTGCTTGATAGCGTAATAGCTCGCGTGTAGGTGGAGAACGCTTAATGTTACGGTCACAAAGGTTCGTACGAACGATAATTTCGTATGAATCTCCCTGTTTTTCCATTGTGTTCCCGAATTTCCATTGTCTGAAAATCGTTCGTACGGCGTTCGTAGCCGTTCGTAATGGCATTTGTGACCGAGGCTTTAGGTATGTCACTTGAGTTATGACAGGGGCACTGACCGGATGTGCCCTCTCCCATAAATCCGCTACTAGATAATACTACACCCACATATTCACCTCTGAGAATGCTCTAGTTCCTATAAACTATTATCATTACCCTGGCTTTAGCCCAGTTGTCCGAAGGCGCTGAAGATATTCAATGAACAGCTTCATAGCCGGTAACCATTAGCTGCACCTGGGTTGAGGATGGCTAATTGAGATTTATGTCTTGCAAAGGACATCAATTCTTCGGCGGGACTCAAACCGCGAACTATACGTGATCCGCAGCCCCCTGACGTTTCACGTAGATAACGACATCGCTACATAAAATGTAATCATTCACTTCAATTCTTTAAAAAATTCTCTTTCAAGTTTGATTTGGGGAAGAAAAAAACACTTGATGATTATTACTCTGTTATTTTGCTGCCAAAACCATGTAAAGACTCATTTTGATTCATTCCTGTAACGATTTACAAATGACGGGCAATAAACAAAAGAAAGAATGAAAGAATGTCAAGTATTTTTTTGTTTTGTTCTGTTGCAGAACTGAATTTCGCTGTCTATAAACCATGACAAATTTGATTATTCGGAACTTCAATCGGGGAGATTTAATTTCCACAACTTATTGCCATTTCAAAAAAAGTCTTTTGGATTTGTTTTCTTCATCAAACTCAACGGACCGACATACTGGCAGGACAGACTGACCGATCAAATAAAACTGTGGTTAAAATGTGTTCAACCAGAGAGCGATCTTCCTGAAAGCCCTGCAATTAGTATTGTCTCAACAATTGCCATAGTAGTACCTGCAGGTACTTATTTACACCTGGGTGGAAAGTTGCAATGTAGATCCAGTTCTTGCACGGGACGTTAGTTTCGGGGGGGTGATTGTCCTAGGGGGTAATTTTCCGGGGAGTCATTGTCCTCGATTGGTGGTTGTCCTTGGGGGTAATTTTTTTGGGGAAGGGGGCAATTGTCCCGCTGGTAATGGGCCGGTAAGTGTCCTAGACCCGCACAAAAGACAAGGGGTTCATCTTGCAATTCAACCTGCTATTGATAATGCAGCGGCTAAATTATCTTTAAAATCTTTAAATGATTAGCCACATAAATTTACTTTCAAAATTACACACATTTGAAATAAATGTATCCACATCAGTATTGTTTCAAAAATACAATATCAACGGCAAACTGCATTTTTTGTATTTCCCCATCGATTTTTTTTTTGAGAAAAAAATCACTGCCATGCATTGTGGGTGTTGGCTCACTTATTCCCTGTTTTCAAATTATGTGCCTATTCTCGGAATTCTGCCTGACTGACTTTCTCTCTCAATAAGGGAGTTTACAGATAAAATCTGCGCATGGGCAGATAAAGGTCATTTTTACCAAAAAGGTAAAACCCACAGAGGTGAATACTAGATATGCGCTCATGAAAGTTACTCATTTATGCACCAATGGTACATTCTATGATACGCAGGTGGAAGTATTCTTTTCAAGAGGGCAAACAAAAGGTATTCATGAAGCACATCTAGGACTTTGCCAGTTATTATTCTAATATGCTCAAAGTGGAACTTCTCTATGTGTAAAAGATCTGTGGATATTTGCGGTCATTTGTACCATGTGCTATCTGTAAACTCCCTCATACGATATAGATGAAATATTCGGAAGGCGTGGAATTACCTGAGGGTAACCTTGGTTCCTCCGATCGACGTGACCAGTGTTAAATATGGCAGACATGGGGACGCGAAGGGGCAATGATGACCAAAACTAAGCTGGAAGGTTCCATTAGTAGCCTTTGGTTCTACCAGCAAATGGCCACAGCTCTGGAATTATACGTTAGTAAACGTAATAATAGTTAAGATAAAGTTATCAATAATTATAAAAATGGTGATAATGATGATGAAAATAGACAATATATACATATCTACACAAATATAAGAAATAGTGATGCTCTGTAGGAGAAAAAACTTTTTTACAAATGTTCTTCCTTTGTCAAGGTGTTTGTCCAGTAATGATTTTATTTGACTTTGAAAATGTTATTATTATCCATCAGAATATGCGGATCCAATTCCCGTAAAATGCGCCAGGGCGAAGGGAGAGGGGATACGAACAATTACGTCGGTCACAAAAAAATAAGAAGGGATCAAGTAATAACGTTTGTAAAGTAATTTCTTCGTTTTATTTACGGAGTATCATTATTTCTTGTATTTTTTGTATTGTATCCAACTCCGAGCAAAAATCTTGGCTTTATTTCACAAAGATATTCCTAATTCAGCTTTTGGTTAAATCGAGAAGCCTATTATATATTGGAAGTGTGCCCTTTTTACACAGGAACATTTGCCCCTTTAACTTAGCATGACATATCCTACAAAAAGTAAACGCAAAAGTTCAAATGTTTGCTTCGCTCGCTCGCAAACGAATATTCAGATCATCACACACACAACTGCAAATTCTGATGCTCACTGTCATCCGTGATAAAATAATTATTAAGCAGGGCTCCCACTTAGCCGAGTTAGAACCTCGAGTTGTGGCGAGCTGGCGCGATCTTATGGCAAGCCGTTTTCTTATTAATTGATATCAAGAAATCAACTCTTGATATCAAGAAATAATTTTACGTTGTAAAGCAATGGTTATTCTTGATATCGAGAATTCGATTTCGTAATATCAAGAATTGAATTCTTGATATCAAGACATATGTTTTAATGATAAAACTGCTTGCCATAAGATCGCGCCAGCTCGCCACAACTCGCTAATACAACTCGGCTAAGTGGGAGCCCTGCTTTACAAACAATGTCTTAATATTGTAATTTATCGTTCCTTTGTTGGTGATTCTTTCCCTATAAAGTGCCATCGTTTTCTGTTGCACCCCACTTTGAAAGATACTCCACTGCCCCTATATGCATTTAAACTAAGGATAAACAGAAAACCCTGAATTTAAGTCAAGCGATGCAGGCAGTGACTGCATGGCGGTCTTCGGGTCGATAGCCACTCTGACGCGTTTTTGTACAAGAAATTCTAAGCTTGGACATGACCGATGTTAAACTCATTTTTATTAGTGGGAATCATATTTGTCGGCCAGTTTAGCTGAGTCTTTTAATCTTACGTCTGTGTTCTCGAATATAGTTCCATCGAATGTGTTGAAGAGGGTGAGATATTTTCCTGTAATGGAGCACGTGGCTTCACAGAGGGCTTCATTACGAGTGCAAGCCCAGGATCCCCCAGCGCATGTGCTGTATCAAAGTTAATAATTATAATGATAAAAGTAATTATAATGAATACTATGATAACAAAAATATTCTGCTTAAATAGCACATCATACACTTTAAGAAATAAGGGTTCAAATGCGGTGCAGATTTGAGTCCACATACGCTTATTTAGCAGAGGGTACTGCTATTGTGGCAGAATTGTACCCTTATTTCTTAGTGTGTATGCCTATTTCCATCTCTATTCGCTAAACATGAAGAAATTACACTGTGCATATGCATAAACATATCATATGATATTATATTACATTACATCGCGCAACATTATTTGACATTACATTATGGTATTTGTTTACTATTATCACATTGGATGAAAAGACTCACGTGACACTCATTTTTTTTCTTCTTGTGCACCAGCGTGGAATATAAGCTGCTTTTACACTTCAACCAAAAATCGTCGGTTTTCACACTCTGGTGTTTCACCGGTGGTGGCAAACGCGACGAAATCGAAATTAAAAAAAAAAAAAACCTCTGAAGTGTGGTAAACGCGCGCCAAGGTTTCACTGACTTTTTGCACTGTGAAAGCAATGTTCGATGAGATACCGGTTTTTCGTCACGTGACTCTCCTCGCTTCCGTGCGCGCTTACACATGCAGGTCATGCTGCAGAGCACCAACGAGTCGCACATGCGCACTACTCAACCCCCCCCCCCCCCACAAAAAAAAAAAAAATATATATATATATATATATATATATATAACTATGGATTGCACATACGGAAGACATGTGATAAAAATCAATATTTTGGAGACAGTAGCAAAATGGTACCATAAAGTTAAAACAAGCATGCAAACTTTCGTTTTTATTTCGCAGAAAAGATCTTCAAACCAGAGTCTTTCAATTACTTAATTACTTTTTACCCTCAAAGACACACTTTTTCGGTAAAAGATATACCGTCGTAATTTATGTCTCCTTTACGTTTCATTACTATCTGAGCAACAAAAGGGAGACATTTTGTCTTTCTCATACTATTGGGAGACATGTCTCCTAATGATAGTGATACTGAGCATGCACACATATATGTATATATATATATAAATGTAACATAATTAAAATGTATGTTTTGCTTTATAGATTTTTGAACATACTATTAGTCTTCATACAAGCCTAAAGGGTTATAAGGATTGCACATAGGCTTAGTCTATATTAAATTACTATTATCGTTATAATTATAATAACTATTATCATTATTATCATTTCTATTAACATTGTTATAAATTCTTGTTTATTAACACGAAAATGTCTCCTTCATGTGGGTGTCTCCTATAAGTAGGTATAATAACACCAAAATGTCTCCCAAATGTCAGATCTATAGAAATATTATCATCATCATTATTATTATTGTTATTTGATTTAATTCCACAAACTGGAAACTTCCTGGGTCTTTGAAGACATGCATTACTTCTAGGAAACACCCACTCAATGGAGACATATTTGTGTCTCCTTGAAGTACAAGTTTATCGATTATTTTGTCTATGTTATTATTAATGTTTTTTTTTATCATTTTTTTTCTTGTGTGGAGGTATATTCGCACATGTCCTTTGTTTTTGTTAATACTCGATATGACATGCAGTGGCGGATCCAGGGCGCAACAGGTGCGCAACAGTTTTTACCATCTTCATCCCATTATCATAATTATAACTATCCTCTTTATAAATCATAATATCATTATCAATGTCATATGAATGGATTTGTATACTATAAGAAAAATATGAAAAGGAAAAAGAATCTTGCATGTGAAGACACCATATGCTAACTTTCAAAAAGGAACCCGAACGCGACCCGACCGTTTAGCACAAGCCAAACAAAACGAACCAGACACAACGAATCTCACAGACATGTGTATATGGACACAAACTCAATCAAAATATGCATTCACATCTTCAACTGGTCATCCACAAAAGGTCACATTCAAAAGCAAAAACAAAACGCGGGAACTATTTAGTTATTTTATTAGCAAGGAATTTATTACAAAGGTAAACCATGGATTAATTGAGCAAGTCTAAAATCAAGCAATAAAAATTGGGCACATGCTCAAAATTATAAATAAGCATGAAGTAGAATACATATATTATATAAATGGGAGAGATCTCAATGCAAAATATTAAATTAATAGTCACATTGAATATTAAAGAAACAATTTAAATTGCACAGACAATACAAGAAAATATTTCAGTGTATCACATCATCAGGCAAGAAAATAAAGAAATGGCAAGAAAGAGACAGAAAATTGGAAATAGGGAAAGGGAGGGAGGAAGGGGAGAGAGACAGAACAAAGTAGTGTGGTGGTGGTTTTGGTAGTAAACCTCCTTGGTAGTGGTAGTAGTAGTAGTAGTAGTAGTAGTAGTAGTGGTAGTAGTAGTAGCAGCAGTAGCAGTAGTAGTAGTAGTACAGTGGAACCTCGTTATAACGATATCGGATATAACAAAATCCTCTTATAACGAGGTAATTTTGCTGGTCCCAGCTCTTTATATTTCTTTGGTTTTTTACACTGATATAATGAGAAACCTGATATAACATTAGGTAATTTTCATGGTCCCAAGGACCTCGTTATAAAGAGGTTCCAATGTAGTAGTAGTAGTAGTAGTAGTAGTAGTAGTAGTAGCAGTAGTAGCAGCAGTGGCAGCAGCAGTAGTAGTACTGTAGTACTACTAGTAGTAGTTGTAGTAATACAAGACTAGTAGTAGTAGTAGTAGTAGTAGTAGTAGTAGTAGTAGTAGTAGAAGTAGTAGTAGTAGTAGCAGTAGTAGTTTTATATTTCTAAAATATTTATAAAACTAATAATGCTTAACCTTGAAATTCTACATATAATTGGAACATACATACTCTACCCAACCATGACTAACTTGACATGAACCAATGAATAACCACTCGTGCATGAACGAAAACAGAGCTTCTCAAAAAAGGTGTAAAATTAAGATGTGGTCAAAACTTTGCCTGTATCTTTTGAATCTAGTAAAGGAAGTCATCTCATTTTTGGTCTGGGTCCTCACAAATGAAAGCAAAAGAAAGAACATACATGTGGAGATCTTCGGTTCTGAAATTAATCCCGATGTAGTCATTTTCATATTTCGATGTCTATTCTGGGATGAATAGGGACAGTGCCCAATGTTATGCAACACTACAACCTAGTGGGTCAGAATGTAATCGTTATACTTTTCCTACATTTCTCATGAATAAAAACATTAACACATGTAATTATTATAGCACTAAATGAGCAAATTAGCATTATTTACTCTTGTCACAAAGAACACTGATGTAGCCAAATATGTACACCATATAAAAGGCAATGCTGTAAAATATTCCAATAACAGGAATAACAATAACAAAAGTTCAACTAGATGCAAACGTGCAATCCATATATATGCAAGATTAGATAGTAAAATGACATCTAAGTGTCTTTGTAATATCTGTGCTTGTGGAATCAAGTTGATGCTCTTCAAAAACACTTCGAAAAGGGATTGTGCTCAAACTGACATCATTATCAAGTACTATAAATACCCTTTGTCTAATAATATGTAGTTCACTCTAATAAACTTGAATTGAACTTGAAGTTTGACTGCATAACTACACTTCACTGTACAGTGTGCAACCAATCATTTCTAATGTCCAAACCTTCATCATGCACTGAAAGCAGTATTCATCATTACATCATTAATTAGATACATGTCATCTTCATTTGATCCTGAATTAAATTTAAAGGTAATACAAAGTTTTGGTATGGGGTCATGAATTTTGTTCAAATGTACATATTGGAAGCATATATACGATCCAACAAAACACAATGATCGTTGTCGCTGTTGTAATCGAGTCTAAAGTGATGAAATTGTAGATAATAAACTCTTTATGTTGTATAGCGCCCTCTCCGGATTGATATTACTTTAGCTTTAAAGCAATGTTTCTTGACTATTCTTTTGGAAACCTAATATCAGAACTGCATATTCCGAGATTTTCATGGTCGCAGCTACCGTTATATGACCGTAGGCGCTATTTGAAATTTATCGGGAGCACCGATAAATTTCATATTAGAATATCTCGAAATCCAAAGCGTTTTAGAGCCCAATTTATTCAGAGGCGGTTTTTCGTACACAAGGTTTTACAATGATAATGAAAATTTAAACGTTATTCTCCGACCCTAGTGAAATATTCCCAAAACTTTGTATTACCTTTAATATTCATTTAACTTGCATACATCCAGGTTACAAAATGTCCACTATATAACCATTTAGCACTTTCTTTAATACATACACTAAGTCAATGGCAGGGAAAACCGAAATAAACTAACTTCATTCAGGCTCATTAATCATCATTACACCAATGTTTCAACTGACCTCTTTGCCCACCATATTAGACTTTCATCAATTCAGCTCTATCACAAATTAGAGCAAGTTACAGGTTGCGCATGTGCAGATAAAGGACCAGGCTTGACACTGAAACAAAACGAGGATGAGTCCTTGTGCAAGCTCTTTCATGAATATTCATTTAGAAGCCACATACCTACTGGAATATACAGGTGAAGGTACATGTATTGTGCCAAAAAAGGCAACAAAAGATGTTAATCAGACCATATGATCTGACCCAACTAATATTATTAGTTTAGGAAGCTCCTCTCTCTGTCATCAAAGTTTTTCTTTGCTTTATTCCTTTCGTTCATCACCTTATTTCTTACCGCCTGCCATTCCATGGTGATTTGATGTCTTTGCAGGAAAGTGGTGCAGGCCTTCCTCCCTGGGTATGAAATAAGAACAATACATTCTAAATCCTTTGTCATCATCGATACTATCTTAGGTTATTAAATAGGAACTAGTCGACTGGTATGCCTCTGCCCTCTCACGCACTGCATTATATTGAACAAATTTGCATATTTGCACTATCAACTCATATGAAATTTCAATACTTATTATTAATTTGACTAAGCTATCTTTCAGAGTACATGAAAAGCCAATTAATGTCAATTAAGTGCACTTT